GTTAAAGAATAAATCCTGATCAAATATAACACCAAGATTCCTTACAGTCTCACTGGAGGGCAAATGAATGCCATCCATATTTAGTATATCCTTAGATAATTTGTTTCGTAGATTCTTCGGGCCAAGTACAATAACTTCAGTTTTGGTCGTGTTTAACATCAAAACGTTTAAGGTCATCCACGTTTTTAAGTCCTTAAGGCAGTCTTGAATTTTATTTAGATGATTAATTTCATCAGGCTTGATTGATAAATATAGTTGAGTATCATCCGCATAACAATGAAAGTTTACACAATGATTCCTTATAATATTGCCTAACGGAAGCATATATAATGTGAACAAAATAGGTCCGAGCACTGAGCCCTGTGGCACTCCATGGCTAACTTTGGTTTGCGTGAAAGATTCATCATTGACACGTACAAACTGAGAGCGTTCAGATAGATAGGACCTAAACCAGTCTAAAGCAGTTCCCTGTATGCCAACTAAGTGCTCTAGTCTTTGCAATAAGATATCATGATCGATAGTATCAAATGCAGCACTGAGATCGAGCAAAACAAGAATAGAGACACGTCCCTTGTCTGAGGCTATTAGAATGTCATTTGTGACTTTAACCAGAGCTGTCTCTGTGCTATGATGTGTTCTAAAGCCAGACTGAAAATCTTCAAATAAATCATTGTTTTTTAAGTAATCAGCTGTTTTGCGACCGCTTTCTCAAGAATCTTTGAGAGGAACGGAAGATTGGAAATAGGTCTATAATTGGCTAAAACCTCTGGATCGAGGTTGTGCTTTTTAAGAAGCGGTTTTATCACTGCTACTTTGAATGATTGTGGAACATAGCCTGATAATAAAGACATATTCATAATATTTAATAAAGAAGTGCTAATTAATGGAAAAACTTCCTTCAACAGCTTAGTTGGAATTGGGTCTAACATACACGTTGATGGTTTAGAAGAGAGAATCATTGAATTTAATTGTTCAAGGTTTATGGCTGAAAAGCATTCTAGTTTACTATCTAGTGTAATATTAGAACTTACGTTTCCGGGAGCTGTTGATAACACTATACTGGTCAAAGGCAAGAGGTCATTCATTTTGTTTCTAAGAGTAACAATTGTATCGTTAAAAAAGCACATAAAATCATTGCTACTGAGTGCTATGGGAATAGAAGGCTCAATCGAGCTGTGGCTTTCTGTCAGCCTGGCTACAGTGCTGAAAAGAAATGTTGCATTATTCTTATTCTCATCTATTAATGAAGAGTAGTAGGCTGCTCTCGCTTTACGCAGTGCTTTCTTATATTCATTGAGAGTAATATGCCAAATTAAACGAGATTCTTCAAGTTTAGTGGAACGCCATATCCTTTCAAGTTGTCTCGACTTTTGCTTTATTTTGCGGGTTTGGGCATTATGCCATGGAGCTAATCTATGTTGTTTTATTTTCTTCTTTTTCAAAGGAGCAACAGAGTCTAATTTTATTCGCAGTGCATCTGTAGCACTATCAACAACATGATCAATTTGGGGTGGTGTACATTTTGTATACGTTTCCTCCCTTACATGCAGACATGCTATCGAGTTAAGTATTGGTGGAATCTCTTCCTTACATGTGGCTATAGCACTAACAGATAGGTTTCTGCTGCAGGAGCTTTTGACTAATGCTTTGTAGTCTCGTAACAGTACTTCAAAAGTTACTAAGAAATGGTCGGATAAAGCAGGATTATGCGGTTCGACTAATAGTTGCTCAATTTCAATACCATAAGTCAGAACAAGGTCGAGAGTGTGATTATAGCAGTGGGTTGGTTTATTTACACTCTGACAGAAACCAACAGAATCTAATATAGAGTTAAATGCAACAGTAAGGCTATTTTTATCATCGTCAACATGAATATTAAAGTCACCTACGATAATTACTTTATCTGTTTTAAGAACCAAAGTTGATAAAAACTCAGAGAATTCAGATAAGAATTCTGAATAAGGACCTGGTGCACGGTACACTGTAACAAATAAGATTGGCTGCAAAGTTTTCCAGGTCGGATGCGTAAGACTAAAAACGAGACTTTCAAAGGAGGTATAATTTAATTTTGGTTTAGTATTGATAAGTAAACTTGAGTCAAAGATTGCTGCAACTCCACCTCCTCGGCCCGTGCCTCGGGCAATATGAGTATTGATATGGCTGGGTGGAGTGGCCTCATTTATGCTGACATATTCTTCATGTCTCAACCAAGTTTCAGTGAGACAGCATATATCAATATTATAATCTGATATTAAATCATTTACCAATATTGCTTTAGATGCTAGAGATCTTATGTTTAAGAGACCACATTTAATATTCCTGTTTTGTTGCACTGTAGTAGTTGTTACATTTACTTTTATTAGGTTATTATGTATGACACCTCTATTAGGTTTTACCTTAACTTGTCCTTGGGCAGACACACACACCGCTAATATTGGGTATTTTATTGGGTTCGGGATTCCTATGGATGACTGCCTAGGAGAGAGCGCAGAGAAGCGTGTAAGACTGCGACTCCGCCTCCTGGTCTCAACTCCAGTTTGTCATGGATTAAGTCCACAAAGCCCTGAAATGTTTGCCGAAATGAGATCTGCACCTTCCAAAGTAGGATGAATGCCGTCTCTCTTAATCAGACCAGGTTTTCCCCAGAAGGCTATCCAATTATTTACGAAGCCCACATTGTTTGCTGGGCACCACCAAGACAACCAGCGCTGAAATGATGACATGCGGCTATACATGTCATCATTGATCAGATTGGGGAGGGGACCAGAGAAGATTACGGTGTCCGACATTGTTTTAGCATAACTACACACCGACTCCACATTAAGTTTGGTGCATTCTGATTGGCGTATACGAACATCATTACCACCGACGTGAATAACAATCCTACTGTATTTACGTGTATTCTTAGCCAGCAGTTTAAGATGCGCCTCAACGTCGCCCGCTCTGGCCCCCGGAATGCATGTGACTGTGGAGGCTTCGGTCTCTAATTTCACGTGTCTCATAATAGAGCTACCAATAACCAGAGTTGGCTTCTCAGCGGGTGTCTCGCTGAGTGGGGAATATCTGTTAGATACGTGAACGGGTTGGTGGGGACCTGCGGGTCTCTTATGCCCCTTCTGAGCAGTCACCCAGTCTCCCTGCGATACATTAACGATACATTTGAAACACCAGGCGATGCGATTCGATTCACCCCTGTTGCAATACAGTTCGATATGATTTGATTCAACATTATGCGATACGGGGCGATACGATGCGATTCAACACGGTGCAATACAATTCAATATGGTACAAAAGAGGATTTTGTTTTATTCCTTATTGACCAGCATTAACAATGTGCAAAAAACAATTACCAGATAGCAATGGCCATACAACTGCCAGACTGATGCACATAACACTCATTCAGTAGGCTAACTCACCAGTGAGCAGAAAGCAGCGGTTTCTATTATGAACATATAAAGAATACAAATAACCTTTCAAAAATAGGTCTTAATAACATTTCAACTATTATTGGCAGTCACAGGCTGCTGTAAAAATAAAAACCACTCTCACTGACATAACACCTCACTGAGCTTAACTCATATGTCTGGCTTGCAGGTTTTTCTTAAGGAATATAAGTGAAGCAAGCTGCGCTTTGCTGTCACTATGTCACCGGCTGTCCTAAACACTCGTTCAGAGGGTACACTTGTTGCAGGGATGTACAGGTAGCTCTTTGCCAATGTTGAGAGCAGTGGAAGATCCACTTGTTTTTTCCACCACTGCACACTCTCGCCAAGTAGGTGGCGCGGCACTGCTGCGACCCGGGCTCCTGTCGTGTGCTGCAGTTTTTGTATATTTATTAGGGCCGGGACTCGATTAAAAAAATTAATCTAATTAATTAGAGGCTTTGTAATTAATTAATCGAAATTAATCGCATTTTTAATCACATATAAATATTTGACCTGAGAACAGTGAGAAGCAATTTTTTTCACATGGATTTTAGTATACCATTAGGCGCATTCACACCGCAGTACTTTTCCTACAAAGGTTCATGAGAACTTAGTTCATGAGAACTCTTTGAACCTGGGGGAGGATTAGGCAAATGAAGCCGCTGACGTCACTTCTTCTTCTGCTTTGGGTTTACTGGCAGGCCGCAAACCACTTCACGGCGTATACTGCCGCCCAAAGTCCCCGGCCGGAAGTCCCCGGAGTTAGGGACTGGCTTCAGTAGAAGCTGCTGGGAGTCCCAGCAGCCTTCCGAGTAAATCGCCAGAACGCCGACACCTCCTCATCTCCACCGCTCCCATGTTTTATTTTGTGTTGCCATAAATTAGTCTCTCTGCGTTTCTGCGCTGGGCTAATGCTAATGCTAATAATGCTAATGCGAGAATAATAAAATTCACAAAACTTTTTGGGAGTTTTACGGGGCGTGGTTTGCAATCCGCCCAGCCAATCAGAAATATAGCTCTTTTCTCACAAGAGAGCCGTACGAAAGTCCCTGCTCTCTAGCAGCTCTCTGCTCTCTAGCAGGGACTTTCGTGGGGGTAAAAAGGTTCTCATGGACTAATTTTAGTACCGGCTCTTTTTGGTGTGAACGCGATAAAAGAGGCTAACGTCCACGCTAGCTTCCACGCTAGCTGCTATATGTTTTGCATTGAGGTGATACTTGAGGCTTGATGTGCTGTGGTGATATGCGAATTCCTTTTTGCATAATTTGCACACAACCGTGCTCTTATCGACGCTTCCATCCGTCCGTTTTTTAAAACAACCACTGTTGTTCACTGTGGTTTGTTGTTGTCTGAAGTCATGAACGTTAGTTGGTGCTCCAGTATAATCGGTACGCCTGAAACTCATCCAGTGAGAAACGTTCCGCGGTGCAAAAATAAGTGCGATTAAAATGCGTTAATTTTTGTGTAATTAATTAATCTTAATTAACGCGTTAAAGTCCCGGCCCTAGTATTTATGTCTGGTTAAACGTTCCGTCCTTGATTTAAACCACACGCTTTAATCAAGAGACTGTGTGTGTGTATGTTGGTACAATGACGACCATTGCGAAACTTCTACTGGCACTCTTTATCCTTGAACTTTTTCAACCATGCCAAACATTACGGGGAGGAAACAACTTGGCCCCGTCATACACCAGAGACGCACTGCTGGCCCTCCGTGCTGCGGGAAGCTTCCCACCCCCCAACCTGCCGGAGGACATACGATCTACGGCTCCGAGGAGATGTCTCCGTAGAAGGGGAAGGAGGGGAGGAGTACGGCAGCGCCTCAGACGGAGAGGCAACAGGCCGCCTTTACCCTCCATGATACTCAGTAATGTGAGGTCGCTACGGAGGAAAATGGAAGAGCTGCGGATCATCGCTACAGCCTGTTTCGAGTACCGTGAGTCCTCTATTATGGTGTTTTGTGAGACATGGCTTCATCAGGATATTCCCGACTCTTTGTGTGAACTGGAGGGTTTTTCACTCATCCGCTCGGACAGCAGTGAAACGTCGGGGAAAGGCAAAGGTGGGGGCATCTGTGTATTTATCAATGACAAGTGGAGCAGACAACACACTTTGCGTAAGACTATCTGCAGCCCCGACGTTGAACTTATGTGCTTGAGCCTAAGACCCCAGAATGATATTCCCAAACTCTCTAGGCAGGTCCTAGAGAGTTTGGGAATATCATTCTCTGCACTGTTTATATTCCACCCAGCGGGAACGCAGCAAGTGCAGCAGCTCAAATCACTGACTGTGTTCACCAGCAGCTACTACACACTCCTGACGCTCCGGTTTTTATTCTAGGGGACTTTAATCATTGCAAACTTGAACTGTCACTACCCGGTTTTCAACAATACGTTACATGTGAGACCCGGGAAGATACAATTCTAGACAAATGTTACGGAAATGTGAACAACGCATATGTGAGTAGAGCCAAACCCCCGCTTTTGAACTCGGACCATAACACTGTTCATCTAATACCTACCTACAGAACGGTTCTCAAGCATAGCAAACCACAGACCAAGACTGTAAAGGTTTGGACTAGTGACAGCAGAGAGTCTCTTAAAGGATGTTTTCTGAGTGGAGCATCTTTCATGAGATGGACGTGGATAATGCTATTGAGACGGTAACTGACTATATACAATTCTGTGTTGACAATGTGATACCTCAGAAAGAAATAACTGTGTACCCCATGTGACGACCCCTCCCCCCTTCTGCCTGGTGGTGCTCCCTGCCTTGCTGTCCTCTGGCAGGTACTGGGAGTGTCGTCCTGTTTGTGCCCGCCCAGCTAGAGGCGGAGCCACAAGAAGGTATAAAGGTTGCCCAGCTGCAAGGATCACTCTCTGATTCAGATCCTGGCATGCTGCAGCAACCTCAGCCTACAGCCTGTGTTAGGTTTGATGCACCCTCTAACATGCTACAACACCCTTCCACACACCCACACACTGCTCACACTACTGACAGTCTGATTCGTACATACACTATTCATCAGAGGTGTTTTTCTATAACCTGTTAAATAAACAGATATTTGGCATATAACTCTGTGTGGCCTCCCTATTTGTTCCAGCCTTAAGGCAGGTTGTAACAAGTGGGGGCTCGTCCGAGATAATTTCCGGTGCTGGATAACGGACATGGTGACCTATTTCAGTCAGGGAGTGTTCACACAGCTTGTTGGTTGACTCTGAGTTTTGTAGGGGAAAATAGGTCAGGTTGATGTTACTCTGTCTAAGTAACTGGTCTTACTCACAGTTATGTTTCTGTCCAAGGCAAGCTATGTTTTCCGGTATTGCTGTTTTGTGTTAAAGGCTGTCAAATGTTTGGAACCCTTATTCCTGTTAGGTATAAGCAATGAGAGACACAAGTTGTCTCCATTGAACCTTTTTTTGTTTTTGTTTGTTATTTTTGTGTAGTAAGTGGCTAGAGCATTTGCTCGGGTGCACTCCATGACTGCCTAGGTGATTTTCAATTGCTGAGAGTTAACCGGGTCACTGGGCTTTTGTGCTTAAAATCCTCCCACAATTCTACACGAAGACTAGGGTTGAGTGAGTCAGTAAGCATTTGGTAAGGTAGTTAGCCAGAGGAGTGGGGTCTCCATATGTAAAGCTGTCTTTCACTATCAGTTACTGCTGGAAAAACCTTGCCTTGGTCGGTAAACAGTTAAATGGCTTCTATTGAAGGTTTTGTTGAGTCCCCAAATGAGGATTTGTTGGATACTTATAAAAAAATATCAGCTTTTGAGAGTGGCTGACCATTACGGTCTTGAACTTCCCAAAAAGTTGAATAAAGAGGAGTTGTTGGTAGAAATAAAGGCACAGTTAGTGGAAAAAAGTGTTTTGTCTGTCTTTCTGGGGCCTACCTCCCAACAGTCAACGGAGTCAGGTAATGTTTCAGGTGTCGTTCCAGTCCTGTCTGGACTTGGGGTTGGACTATCATTTAAAGAACAGAAAGAGCTTCTAATGCTACACTTGGAACGTGATGTGGAGGTAGAAAAGTTGAGACAAAATGCCCGTCTTCAGGAAGCAGAGATGGCTTCTAGACAAAAACTAGACTTGGAGCGCTACAGATTGGAGCTGATGAGTGAAGATAAGCTTCCACCTGAGACCAGGAGAGCTGCAGAGACTGTAGGTCAGGTTCCTGCAAATCAAGCATTTGATATTACTGTCAATTTGAGGATAGTTCCGAGGTTCAACGAAAAGGACCCAGACATTTTCTTTGTGTTATTTGAGTGTCTAGCAGAGGCACGAGACTGGTCTGATGTTGAGCGCACCCTTCTGCTTCAGTGTGTCTTCACTGGAAAGGCCCAGGAGGCTTTCGCTGCCATGACTGCTGAAGACAGTAGCAATTACCAGTTGGTGAAAGCTGCTGTACTTCAGGCATTTGAGTTAGTACCTGAAGCATATCGACAGCACTTTAGGTTACTCAGAAAAGAGAAGCAGTCACATATGGAGTTTGCTCGTGATTTAACCACTAGTTTGAACCGTTGGTGTGTTTCCTCACAGGTAAAAACTCTGGAAGATCTGCAGGAGCTTATCTTGCTTGAGCAATTCAAAGGTACCTTGCCTGACCGTGTTGTTACCTACATTAATGAGCAGAAAGTAAACCTAGTTTCAGAGGCAGCCAAGCTGGCAGATGAGTTTACTCTGACCCATAAAGTGTTTTTTGGCGACAGCCGTGGTCGTGGAGATGCGGGATACAAAGAGTGGTGCGGGGGCTCACTTCAGTAAAGGTGTTACAGAAGGAAAAGATAAGTTTCCAGTTAGGATTGACCGTGGGAATCGGGGTAAGTTTGACCCCAATCGTGTCTGTAATTACTGTTTTAATAAAGGACACTGGAGAAATGATTGTCCTGAGTGGAAGAGAAAGTCCAGGCCTGGGGCAGTGTCGGCAAAAGCGTCTGGGGCTGTAGCATCGTTACGTGCAGTGGAAAGGGAAAATGTCATTGCGGCTGTGCGGAAACACACTCAGTCCTCCTTATCTGAATCGGTAATTCAGGCTCCTGTCAGTGAACATGAGGAGATAGACCCTGGTTATAAAGCTTTTGTGTCTGATGGTTTTGTTTCACTGGTCGGGAGTAAAGAGAAGGTACCGGTAAAGAGGACAGCAAGGCAGGGAGCACCACCAGGCAGAAGGGGGGAGGGGTCGTCACACCCCCTCCCTTAAAATGGAGGACCCACTAGGATCCTCCAACCTGGGGCACAAAATCACAGACACAAAACACAATAGACAAAACAAGGTTAATCTTGAAATGTTCCTACAACCTGCAAGCACATCTGTAACATCTAGTTCAACCCCTCAGCAACTTTGGTACCCAAGACGCATTTTAAGAGAGGGCAAACAGAAAAAACAGACACCCTTGCAGGGAGAAAAACACTAGTTAACCTAAGAGGTTATAGACCTGGACATGGCATCAGCCACTGTATTATCCACACCTTTGACATGCCTAATGTCCAGATGAAAAGGCTGGAAGAAGAGACACCAACGCATAAGGCGTTGATTTGGATTCTGGAGCGAGTGCAGAAAGGTTAGGGGATTATGATCTGTATAGACCACCAGGGCCCCAACTCCACTCCCAACATACACCTCAAAATGTTTTAACGCCCAGATGGACCAGCCCTTCATTCTTCATGTGGATGCTAGTAAGGTTGGAGCTGGGGCTGTACTCGCGCAGGTTGATGAGAGCGGCTCCGAATGCCCGGTGAGTTTCTTCTCTAAGAAATGTAACTCATCAATTAAACTATTCGATCATTGAAAAGGAGGCACTGGCACTCATCTGGGCGTTACAACATTTTGAGGTGTATGTTGGGAGTGGAGTTGAATTCTTAGATGATCCAGCCATCCTTGGCTTAATGCACAAAGGCAGCAGTTCATCGGCTTATCACTCTGAAATAGAGAGATGTGTGCAGTGGTGTGATTTTAACCATCTAGTGCTGAATGTGAAGAAGACTGAGGAGATGGTGTGGGACCCAAAGGCAGTGGGTGACCTTAGCCCGGTGGTTATCCACAATGAACCCATAACTCAGCTCCTATAAGTACCTCGGTGTCCATCTAGATAATACACTCAGCTGGAAGGCGCATGTTCAAGGTCTGTGCTCTAGACTTCAACAGCGATTGTACTTTCTGCGTCGACTCCGGGCTTTCGGAGTCGACCAGAAGTTCATGTTACTGTTCTATCATGCAGTGTTGGAGAGCATCATGAGGTATTACTGCCTGGTATGGTAACTTGACAGTGCAGTCAAAGTCACAGATCGCTCGCCTGGTACAGACTGCTATGAAAAGTATGGGGGTTCAAAAACACCCATCTCTCCAAAACATATACGAGCAGTCCATTATCAGACAGGCAAACAAAATGGTGTCTGATCCCACCCACATACTCCACCCAGAATTCCAGCCCTCTTCTGGTAGAAGATTCAGGGTTCCCAAGAGCAGGCTGAACCGCTAAGCACTCATTCCTACCTATGTCCATTAAGCTTCTTAACGTTCACATGAAATGAAATGTAGTCAAATGTAATGAAATGTACTTTTTAAATGTTGGCCATGAGGGGTTGTGCAATAGGTCGCCATTGTCAGTATGTGCGTCTGTGTATTGTGTTTGTTCAAACGGTGTATGACTGATGATATGTGTATGTCTCTTAATGTCCACTATGTTTGTATATGTACATGTATGCGGAACTGCAGGACGGAGTCCAGAACAAATGTCCTAACGGGGACAATAAAGTATATCGTATCGTATCACTCAAACCTAAAGCATCCCTCTCCCTGTACTTTAAGATTTCCTCCTTAGCTCTCTCCTTTGTGGTCTTCTTTACTGGTGATCTTGCGGGAGGAAATCACCGAACATCTGGTCCAAGGCCGTCTTCTTCATGGGAGGGACATCATCTAGGGAGTGGAAAAGAAGAGAAG